CCAGCGCGTGCCGGACGCAGCGGCGCGCCGCGCGCTCGCGGCGCTCCCGCCGCGCTCGCCCCTCTCGCCGCTGTTCCCGGGCGGCCCGCTGTTCCCGGACGGCCTCGTGACGCCCTCGTGGATCCGCAAGCACGGCGAGTACATCCCGGCGGTGCGCCTTGCGTTCTTCTGCATGCCGCCGGACCGCGGCGACACGCTCGCGAAGGACGCCGCGCTGATCGAGGCGCTCACGGCGCTGCGCGCGAGCCTCGCGCCGCGCGGCACGCGGCTCGTGGCGGTGCTGCTGTGTGAGCCGGTGCTCTACGCGCAGGGCGTTGATGCGCGCGTCGCCCATGTGCGCCGCGCCGCGGGCCTCGACACGCGCGGCGCCGTGTATGCGCTGAGCACCGCCGCGCACGCGGACCACGCCGCGTTCCTGCGCCACATCCACACGCGCGTGCTGGCGCTCGCGCGCGACGTGTACCGGGAGCGCGCGCGCCATGTGCGCCGCCACCGCGCGCGGTGCCCGCCGCCGCCGTCGGTCGTGCAGCCCGTGCTCCAGGCGGCGGCGCACGCGCAGCTGCTCGCGCCGGCGCAGCCGGTGCTCAGTGCGCCGGGCTGGAATGTGCGTCTGTTCTTCAAGCTCGGCGCGCTGGCCGAGTGGCAGGCAGACTACGGCGAGGCGCGCGCCCTGTACGAGGACGCGTACCGCGAGCTCATGGACGTGTACTTCCGCGCTTCCCCGGCCAAGCCGCCCGCGCGGCGGTGCGTCGAGGCGCAGGTCCTCGCCGACGCCCTCGTGCTCCGCCTCGTGCGCCTGCACCTCTATGCGCATGCGCCCGCGCGCGCGCGCGCGCAGCTGGAGCAGCACATCGCCGCGATCGACGCCCAGTGTGCCGCATGGGGCCTCGCGCCCACCGCGCCGGAGCGCTGGGCGTGGCCGGCCAAGGCGTACGGCCTGCTCGCCGAGCTCGCGCACGAGGCGCAGCGGCCGCCCAGCGTGCACGGCCTCGACGAGGGCCTCCTGTACTACCACGCGGCGCTGTGCCACCTCGAGGCCCTGCGGTGTGCGGCGCCGGCAGACGCCGCGCGCGGCGCGGCCGTGTCGTGCCTGAGCGCCGCGTACGACGCGTTCCGGCACACGCAGCGCGCGCGCCTCGCGCACTGGGCGGCCGTGCGCCTCGCGCAGGCGTACCTGCCGGCCAAGCCGGCGCAGGCGCTCCCGTTCCTCGAGCGCACGCTCCGCTGGTACCGCCGCGACGGGTGGCCGATGCTGCGCGCGCGCCTCGCGCTCACGGCGCTCGCAGCCGCGCTGCCATGCGAGGACCGCGCCGCCGTCGCGCGCCTC